ATAGTTCCTTCGACAAACTTATGAGGCTCTACGATAAGGAGACAATCAAGTATGTAATACATAAGACGACCAATAACAATGCATGAATAGGATGCGATAAAGAGAAACAGGAGGTGCATAATCACGGATTGCGTTTACTTACAGATGGGAAAGTACATACAGAAGTGTGGATACCGCTATTCATGATGCTTCTGGATGGATACCAAGAACAATAGGATTCACAAGACGTGAAGTTGTACATAAGGGGCAACATAAGAAAGCTTTTGGAAGACGACAATATGGAGACCACCCCAAACATAGCAGATAAACACAGAATCCTTTTGCGGATGTCAAGGAAGAAAAAAACGCTGAGAATAGAAGGCGAAGATTTACAGGCCTCATATAAAAAGAGAAAAAGAGACAATAAGACGAAGGCGCTCACCACCATGATAATGATGCAGAAGTAGCAGAACATTTTCAGGGGCGGAATATTAAACGCATACTTACATGTTACATTGGAATGGTGTTCATACGGATGCCCTAAAATGAGATGATCTCAGAGAATTCTTATAAATACAGAGTACAAAAACATGCGACGAACTGCTACCGGGAAAACGAGGGGAATATGTACTTGCAGAGACAAGAACACGAATTAAGTGAAATAGTTAAGAAATTAAGAAGATAATCAACCCCACTGTTGGGGACAATGGCAATTCGTAGCACATGCAGAGACGCAGCTGACTGATTGTGCCTCATCAGGTGAAGAACATATCTGAAGGCCGCGAAATATTCTATCTACGATTCTATGTCCCATTTGTCTTGAATGTGGGAATACAAAAATTTTCCGTAACATACAATGGAGAAGAAATGTACAAATGGAAAATGCAGAATTCCCTATTTGTAATAATCCTCCTTGAAGGTTCCTGATAGTCCATTTATTTGTTCTCTTAAATACTCGTTATACATAAGAGCCTAGACACATACGGAACAGGTGGAAGAAGATTACTGCTCATTTGTTTTACTTAATGATAAAGATGGCATATGGGATTCTGCAGTTCCCCAGCACGGACAAAAGGGGGCCCCACCGTTCTATCAGACACACAGGAAGGGGGAATTTATAAAAATGCTGACGCGCATCCGAACGCCTCTGTACGAAACGGGGCACTACTCACTCAAAGCAACGCAGTAGAAATCACACATTGATAAAATATCCTTAGAAAGAAAATCATACGCTAACAGTAAGGAACGAAAAAAAAACGAGCAAACATAACTACCACAGCATTCTCAGAGTCTGGGTCCTCCACTATCTACATATGAGATCAATCTGCCGTAGAATTGTAATTACGAGACCGCCTATCATTCATTTATCAACGTAAATATAAGTTATGCCATTTTTTTGCCATATCTATTGCTCCAATGAGAGAACAGTTAATGTATGTTTTACTGAAAGAATTGAGGGCCTTCCTAGTAGGATGGAAAAAGGAGGAACTTCCTGGTTATATCATTGCGAAACGGGATTCATCAAATTTGACACGGAAAAGGAACATTTAGAAATAAGGTATTTTAGGAACGGGCCTGTCTTTCCCTAAGTAGTGATCATCATATAACCCATCAGAAAGGATACCACCGATTTTGTCAGCATCCTTGTTTCATCCTACCAGCATATATATATATATTATGGTAACCTTTGCATTATATGGAAATGTTTTAAATCACAGGGTATCTCCTTTTTTCCGATAGGACAAAGCAAAACAGATCGATAAAACAACAACTTTTCTAAGTCCGAAATTTGACAGTCCCTGGTTCTTTAGGGGGCACTCTGTTGGTACCACTCCTTATAAGGAAGGGACATCCCAACACAGACCACGTCATAGGACGTCTCTCCGATGTCCTGACTCAGGGATCAATCTTCTCCTGACGAAGACGCTCCTTCACATATCATTATGGTGATAGAATGTGTCTATTCACTATCTCACTTGGGACAATCTAAGTCCTCTAATAACGATACATTGGTGGATTCACTAATAATTAACGGACAAACAGACTAATAAAAGAGAAGGTCGTACACATATTAACATAATGTAGACTGTTTGGGGACCCAGTTGAAGACATAACATATTCTTCGGGGGATAACTAACATATGGAAGGAGGGTAAGATGACAGGGGACATAACTCCTTAGTGCACCCAGCTGCACACACAGGATATGACTCAAAGTTGTAGACGACGGTACTAAAATGGCTCGGAAGGAGTTCATAATATTATGGTTCATTTCCCAACCCTGAAACCTTGAACCCTAAAACCTGAAGGCCCCAGGCGGATTCAGACACTCTAGACGCCTCCCCCAACTCTTAAGGTACTGTCCTCGTATTCCCCCTCCGGATGTGCGCTACACGTTCGCTCATCCATAGGCCACGCCATAGGTATCGCCCCGTCCACTTGGCAATTGGGATTTTCGCCTCCCCCTACCACGGCTAAAGACTCTCCATAAACCATAACCACTCCCAACTGCTAAGCATAGGACACCTGCCAAACCTATGATTAATCCCCAGCCCCACCCAAGGCCCCAAATCACTCCCTCGTTACTCATCCCACTCCCTGACTCCTTTGGCCCTTTTTCTTCATCCTGTCCAACACCACCCCGGGGTGGGGAATCGTCCCACGCCCCTTGACTGTCGTCTGTGCTGTCATCTGCCTTATGGTTACTTAAGGATTCTGCAATGTTCGGCTGAACGTCCGACTCACTTTTGGTCACCACTTTGCTCACCTCATCCTCCTGGACTAGGCTGTCCTGATTACTTATCATTGTGGAGTCACAGCATTTGCTGGTCAAGTTAGACTCTGCTGTTGTCACGGGGGAATGATCATCATCTCCACTTGCGTCCGAAGTTTCTACACTATTATTCTGGCGTCCTGGAACCTGTACTAAATCTCCAGCCCCCACGTCTATATTTGAGTTTGCCTTCATTGCTTCATACAGTAAGACGCTGCTTTTAAATACTGCCTGTCTTGTTACTGCTTCCATTTTTTTGTGCCTTATTATTATCACTCCGGCCCCTTTTGGCTCCGCTTGTGAGTTGTCACAACTAGTCGTATCTTCAATTTTAGAACAAAACTCTATCCTATTGTCCTCATGCTCCTCTTCATCTGCCCTTATCCAATAAGTCAGTCTATATGGTCCACAATCTTTGCATATCTTTGCCATTGCCTTGTACACACTCAAGATTAAAGCTAGCCCCGCCAACTGACATCCGTCAGTCCCATGCGTCTTCGAACATGGATGTTCCTTGGTTCCTCTTATATTTTCTTTATTTTCTGTCCATTGGTCCCAGTGGCTTTTTTTAAACTCCAGACCAGTATCTATTAAACTACACACTCTTCCTCTTCTGTTAAAAATTTGGTTGTTCCTTTCCTTTCCTTCAATCAAACCTGTTATTATACACATTATCACTAATAACATCCTCTTGCCCTCCTCAAATTTATCCATGGCCTTCTCCTTAGCTTGTTCTGCCCCTAAGGCGCTTGCCCATTCCTCCCTATCCCACGTTATGGAACCTCGGGGGTTATTTGACTGACTCGTGCTCTGCCCCTCTATTTCAATTAAAACTTTATTAACGATATCCCCCCACGTGAGCCTGTCCTGTCCCTTCGAGCCCCCGATTCCTGTCCATACTTTTGGATTAATATTGGTTCCCCATGTATAGTTTGCACTCTCAAACATTTTTGTCTTGATCCAGTTGTCCAAATCCCCCCATCTTGGAGTGCCGTTTTTTGTGAGATGCGGATAACAATATTTCCTGCTGGACGTACATTGCCCTCCTGGGGCCTCCGGGTATGGGAACCCCCATAAATATTGGTCCTTCTTGACCCATTGGTCTAATTTCCATCCCTTATTTATTGAGTCTTCGCTCATTGAGCTTAGAGATTGTTCGAGGGAGTTGAAGTGAAACCTTCCTGTCCTGATACAGACCTCAGTGGACTCTTATCTTAACAATATACCGCATCCTAAGCCTGTCTGGCCCTGTAGAAGAAGGATTAATATATACTCTGTGTTTAACGCGACTGCTTCCTCTAATTGGCCTGGAATGATATTCCCTAAACTTCCGGCATTTCATTTTCCTCGTGGCTTCTGACTTAGGCAAGCTCATTCTATTTCCCTGCTGGATTTAATCTGGCACGGGCCATTTGTAGGATCAGGAAGAGGTCAATCATTTGTGGAAGGCTTAGTAGGTTCTCCTTCTGGTTGCGGACTCCTGGGAGCCGAAGGCCTCGTTTTCCTCTTTTTTGCTTTCGATTTACTACTTGCCTTCTGACTATTAATCTGGTCACTAGGGGAAACCTCACTGCTTTTAGAAGGGGGGGGAAATCTTTAACTTTTCTTTGATTTTTCGATTCATCCTTTGCTCTTAGAATTGGGGGCAAAGGTTTCCTGGGCCCGAAATTTCCTTCTCTTAAGATAAGTGCGGGATACGAGTTCAATTTGTCCTAAATCAGCTACTCTTTCTGTTTTGGCACGGACTTGTGTTGTATCTCTTCTATTCAGCTGATTCTTGATTAATCTTTTCAGATTTTTCTCCCCACTCGGAATCCTGTTTCTCTTCCCTCGTCCTGTTCCAGTTTGTGCTTCTACGTGCAATTGTTTCCGAAGGCCCCCCCCCTGCAAGACAGAGCCTTCGGAAACTTTGGGGTCTATTACGAAATACACGACTATATTCTATACTCTCATAGGATTCTGTTTATTAGAGAAGATGCTGAAGACTGGTATTCATTACATATCCTCTCCGGTGGCTAAAAGTAGCTGATTCTATCCTTCTGTCTCAGAATTTTCTCCTACACCCTCCTTGGATATCAGAGAAAGTTTCTTTCGTTATTCTTTAATCTGATATAAAGTTGCTTTATTGGTGCTTAATCTCTTGTGTCAATTCTCTGAACCCTTCTTTTTAACCTGTTTTGTTCCTTTTTTACTTATTCTTCCTCTCTCATCCTAACTGTATTCTTTCACAATCAACCTTCTGTAGGGAAATTTTTCCTCTGGCTATTCTTTCAAGCCCCGACTGTTTTCCCTGCTGTATTTATGCTTTGGGAGGGGGGACGAGAATCTACATATTAGGCCCTATGATGTATTGGATTATGAAGTTGCTTGAGTTCCTAAAGCTCACCTCCAGCTGCTGCGGAGCTGAGGCCTCCTCTCTTGTTCATCAGTTGTTCCTGGGAGGTTTGGTGAAACATCATGATTGAGGGGGGTTCGATTTGGCTTCCCTAAAGACTTAATCGTCACTTATCCATCATGCTGCCTGTCCCTTACCGCTCTCCTTGCGACTTGTTCCTTGGAGAGGTGCTTTGTTGAAGCGGGACTTCAAGTCCTCTATCTGTTTCGGCCTCTTTTTAATTTACTTCAGCTTATATATTAGCCTCCATCTATCTCCATCCTCTACGGCTGTATCATGCTTGACCAACCCTAAAGCCTGCTGAGGACGACCCCGCGGCAGCTTTCACACTTCATTTCATCTTGTTCCTGTATATTTCTCTGTTCGGTTGGTGTATGTGATCTTAACTTCCTCGCTATGACAATTTTCCCTGCTGGGAAGAATTTTGGGCTTCTTGAATAATTAGCGGACGTAACTCCTCTCATAAGAATTCTCTTCCTTGGATCGAAAGAGATCTTTGTTGCTTGGCCTTAAGAGAATAAATAGGGCGTACCCTACATTATCTCTTCTTGGCTCGGGTCCTCTCTGATTTTTGGGTTTTCCCCTTGTACCGACTCTCTGGGATCTTACGGATAGCTCGTCCCTCTCAGGGAATCAGACTCCTACTTATCCACTTAGATCTTCCTTTATTCCCTGATTCCACTGGCAATCAAGCTTCTGTTTGGGGCATATTTCTTCAGCTAATCCTGAAACTTCAGATCTCAAGTTCCTAGTCTTGTAGACGACGCAGATGCTTCTCGAGTCTTACTGGTCAGACTCTTTTTTAGACTATGAGGCTAGCTTAGTTGGTTGCTCACTTACACTCTATCTCCTTAGGCTGAGATCCTTGAGCTTATCCCCCCTGTAACTATATCATTAATACTTACTTCCTCCCTTTGCAGAATTTCACTGGGGAGCTTCAGTCGGGGAGGATAGTCAACTTGTCGCTCTGTTCCGCCTTAATAGTTACAATCTCTTCAGGTAACTCCTTAGACCCATAGGGGGTGGAGTCCCCCTGGTTGTGGCGGTTGTTCGGGCTCTACGGTAGCTGTCGTATTTGATGAAGGACTCCGGAGTTTCCGACTCCAATATCTTTGGTGATAAATTCTTAATCAATTTAAGGGCTATTTAGGTCCAAATTTGATTCTTCCTTAGATTACACGACACATCCCTAGGGGAGACATGCTGTTGAGGCTATTCAGGAGATACGGTTTCCTCCTATGCGATGTAGTTGTTCTTCTTCATGATCCTTTATCTATTTCTCTGTTAAAAGCCTCCAGGTCTGTATTCCTCTCTTCTTTTCATCTTCCACACGTTATCATTTTTAATACTTCCACTTAACCTGGTTATCAACCTCCTCTAAATCTAGGTTCCCCTATGGTACTTGGGGTGATGGGCGCTGAATAGGGGGTTTTCTGGGAGATTCTTAGGGGCTAAGTCCTTCTGTAATATGTTACGGTTTTACTTGACTCTCACTTTCGCTGTTACTTCAATGGAGCCTTTCCTTGTTTATTTCTTTGTCTGATTCGCTTTATCTTTTGGGGGAAAGAAAAAAGGATGTTCCTTGGCTTTCTTTTGTTGGCGCCCTTATGCTTGCTTACTTCGTAGTCCTCTTCTGCTAGCTGCACATGCTCTAGTCAGCTTCATATCTTCTGTGTCACCCTTGATATTCTCTTGAGCTGAGCAATAATTTGTTCCATGCCCTTTGGGGGAAGGGCCGAGATATTCTCCACTTCCTGTGTCTCTGTTGGCCAGTTAATGCTTCTGTTTGTAAGTCCCTATAGACATCCTCCGGTATGAGCTGTATTTGGTGGGCGGCCTTTTTGGTAGAAGAGAAATTTAGCCCTTGAGTCTTGATGTCACGGTTATCTACTACGGGGGTCAGGCAAAGTTGGGATTAGTTCTTCTTATCTTCTCCGCTAATGTCGTTTATCCTCTAATATTATAATTCCTTGTGTTTTCTTTTATCATTTCAAAGGCTAGGACTCAATGTTATCTAGTCTTTTCCTTCTTACAGCTCCATTTCTAGTCTCCTTGGAACATTGTCTGAGGAGTTAGGCCAGTTTTCCCTGATTTGTGGCCTGCGGAATTAACTGACTTGACCTGCCGCGATTTCAAATTAGAATAACTCGATTATATTTCATCTGCCGATTTTGACACCTTTATCTTCCTTAGTCATTCTTGGTTGCTCTGTCTTAATCTTCTGATTTTTCTTATTCTTTTTCCCTTTTTGTTCAGGAGGTATCATTATTTCATACTCCTATACTTTCGCCGAGTGGCTCGGGGGGACTTCCTGGGAGTCCTTTTGTTACTTGTGTATTCCTTAGGGGATTATTGGAATTCCTTGGTCCTTCAGAACTATGATTAATACTCTCGGCATCTTCTTTAATGAGGGGCAGGCAATATTCCCAGCTCCTACCTCTTTAATGGATTTCCCTTGTCTTCATTACGTAGTAGAATCTTACCTTCAGGAATTTGATTCATCTTCCCTGGTACTACTATTCTTGCCTGCCGTGACGGGCGGTAGTCTCCTGTGTATCATTTTGTACTGCCTCGTCTCCACTTTTAGATCCTCCCCTTTTCCTTGCAACTTCAGACAGTAGACACGGTGTATTCTAAGTAGGGAGTTGTCATCTCCTCTTTTAATTACTGAACTCGGGTTTTTGGAGTAGGAAGTGTTGGATTCATGTATTCTTTACTTTTGAGGGAGCTGTAATGAAGCCCCTCTCCTAATCCTTTTGGATTTGTAGTATTCAGGGACTACTTACTTTTCTTGCCCCGTCTGCGGCTCTTCCTTCTTAGGGACTCTTCTAAGGTTTTCCGACTTACAAGTGCTTCGCATCTCATCTTGTTATATGACTCTGGCGTGTGGCCCGTATCAACCAAGGTGAATCTAATCTTCCCCTTTTATCTTATATTGGTCCGTTCTCTTGTAAGGCAACCTGTTCATTAGGAATTCGACTGGGGCTCGGTGATACATTATATTATCACTCCAGTGCGATAGTACCTGCCGATTACTATTCCTGTCTTTTCTGGTTTCTTGGTCTTTCCTGTAAGAAGAATCTTTTCTTGCCTGTTTAGGTTATTCGATTGGTTCTCATCCTCTTTTCGATGCTGTTTCTTCTATACCGTTTGCTTCCCTGTGTGGCACACGCTTTTTCTGAAATACGTACTTAGCGGGTTGCTCTTCCCGTCCTTGCCTTTATTAAGCCAGCCGTTGCCTCTTTAATCTTGTTCATCATTTCTTCCCTTTGACCTAACAGTCCTTTGATATCAATCGTTTCGCCATCATTTGCTTCTGTATTGTTCCCTGCCTTTATTATAAAAGGTATATAGTACCCCAGGGGATTTGCATATCTTTGCTCCATTGCACTTATAGCACTTTTCACAGAGAGTCAAGAACACTTTTAGACGCTATAGGTGCCGTCTCAATTTTATGCAATATACAATTAAAATTTAATATGAAATTAGAAGTCATATTATACCAGTTCAAATTCAACAATATATTACTCCCTCTATATATGCATAGATAAAACACGTCATGAACAATCGTGTAATTTTGGGGGGCACATTTTTATGCCAAATGGACAGTCCTGTCATCTGAATCTGCATATACTAGTAACTATGTTCTGTCTCTGCGTAAAGGTTTGTATCATTGGTACCATTTCTTTTCCTTCCTGTTCTCTTTCTGGGTAGCCCCTTTCTCTATGACGCCGTATGACCATCATATTTCACCAGGTTAACACTTCTTATCTTTATGACTCATGAACTAATCCCACCTATAAAAGGGAGGAAAGATACATATATGTATGTATAGGCTTGAGTAGATATATGTTCCATGCTAAGGTGTAAAAAGCTCAAAAACACATAGTCTGTTATCCATAGATGATAGCAATGTATAGAGGTATGATAATTACGTGTATTCCTTGCGCTACCATGTTTCTTATTTCTCTAGAAATTCATGCACCCTCAGTCCACAGCGATAATGTGAATTCCCTTAGAGTTTCAAGAGGAAGAATGCTTTATGTTCCTCCTTAATTTACTATAATTAACGATATGCAAAATGGAAAACATTGTTATAAATACATGCATCTCTATTATTCCTAGTGTCTTCTCATAGATGTCCACAAATTCTATAGGTGTCAAATAAAGGTGAGGACCCTGGGAATGCATTAGAAAATTGGAATCTTTCATTACTCTTCTATCCAAAAAAGACGTTTAAAATATAAATTACGTAATGCAAAAGCATTGCAGAAAACGTAATCACCATAAGGAGTGCCATCATAAGAATAGATATTACATAAAGAATTCTTTCCATACACATATGCAACGGTATGTATGCATATAATTATAAAAATCGATATGTTTCCTAAATAGTTACGTCATCCATTACGTGGTCAGTGCTGCAGGAAGTGCAACAAAGATGTGACAATATATACTTAGGACCGTTACAACGGAAAACATAAAAAGAGAGTACTTCTAAAGGCAGTTACAATAAAACAAATGATTCGAAATTTAAATATGGTGTAGCAATATTTTACATTTTTCAGGAATCTGTTCGAGGATATTTTTAGTCCTTTGAGTTACTCAGTTTCTCCTTGTCTCAGTTCATATAGGATGAGAGGTAGGCACATAGTAATTCTGTTTTATGACCCTTAATCATACATCCATTTATGTACTATATAATATAAAATAAATACGTGCATATAAAGGGGCTTATCTAAGACACATCTTATAAATAGAAGACGAATTTTACCGACGGTTATGCATATAAGATTTGCTTCATCCATATACATAATATTAATTCAAGGTTGCAATATTTTGGCAGTTGATAATATATTGACGCACCCGTAGTATACTCATAATTAAGGCTGTATTCGCTAAGCTATTCTTAGGTTCCATAGATTACGATGAACTCACTAATATAATGACATGCATTACAACACATCATATGAGCGTCTAAATACTTTTAATAAAAAACATATCAGGGAACATATTGAGTTGTGTACATTTTATATATTATCGGGTTAATTACATCATACAATATTGATGTAGAAGTTGCGTAAATAAATAAAGTCTGTGCGAAAATATCCTACCTCGCGCACACGACGCAAATAATGGGCAGAGGATTGAAAATAAATAATTAATTACTAATACCGCAACATTAAAAAATTTACGCGCCCTATATTTAACAGAATATATAATTTCAATGGAAGGAAAAAAAACTTTTATTTAAAAACACAATTTTTAATTTACTGCCCACTGCATCAAAAAAAAAAAAAAAATGCATTACGCGCAGAATAAAATGTAGAAGCAACGAATAATTTTTAGTAAAAATTGATTTAAAGATATTTTTCCTTGCAATTCATTCCATTTATATGAAAACATTACTATGAAATGGTTTTCAACTACTATTTTTCCGGGTGAAATATAATTTTTTCTCTTCCTACATAGCTAGAATTACACTGGATTTATATTATTTATTCATATTATTCACATAAAGCAGCGCACTTTCACAGTACGGACTGCTATTGGGTGCATCTAAACACACCCTAATAAAATATATAATTCATATAAATACTTACGATAATAATTACTAAATACCAAGCTTACAAATCTTCTCTTGATAATTCACTTTCTCTTCTGGTGAAATAACCATATTTACGAGAAAGAAAAAAATAATTAAGTCTGCACTACATAGAATACAAACATCAGTCCATTATCATCATTCATAAGAATTATTTACATATCCATTTATAAAACCATTACACCCAAATGAAGTGTACAGAATGTGCACCCTCAGCGTATGATGTGCATTAAAGAATTTCACATTAAGTGCG